AAACTCCACGAGCACTGTCTGCAGACATTTGAGATTTCATGATTAAGTGTACCACTGTCTTACATTTCTGTGACAGATTCTTACATTTCATCTGTCATGACATAATGGTACCAAGATGAAAAGCTATTTTGCAAAAGAAAATAGTTCTGTACATTTCCACTGCAAATCTGTCATTTATTCTAGACTCTGCACCCTAGCAACTGGTTGTATACCTACTATCGCCTGTGTCATGTTTTCTTTGGTGTCACATATAAAAGAGCTCCACATGAAAACTTTGTTTGGAATGAGGTCAAAATAGTTTTAAACTAATTAAGAACAATCGGAATGTGTTTAAACCAATTCTTAAAACCATCTCAAAAGCAATTAAATCCATATTATGGAAATCCAAGAAGGTAAATACAACTTTTTAGGCTAAAATAATATTTTATTAAATAATTTGCTTTAATCAGAAATAGATAACACTTTAGATAATTGATTCTTAGATAGGGTTCAGGTAGGGTCCAAATAGCTTATTTTGTTAAGTTCTGGTACAACAACGGAGCTAGTATCTAGCACACGACTGGACTGTTTTTAAAGAAAACCAACAGCTCAAAACATGTCAGCATATGGGACCATGTGGTCACCATTAGGTTCTTGTTATCAACCTAAACTCAAATTGTTTAGCTGGAAACTGTTTAATGAAATTTGCCTGACATTTAATCTCGGTTTTGGAAAGATGAGCTGTCTCCTAAGATCAGGACAGCTAGCGCAGGCTGTAATGCTGGATGAGTCTGTGTTCACATTGCCTTGCAGAGAGGTCTCTGTCCTTTGAGGTCTCCTGGTTCTGGATTAAAGTCTTAGGTACTCGTGGAGACTCAGAGATAATCTGCCAGACCATCTGTTTTGCAACAATCTGGTTCTGAAGTGACTTCACAAATATTTAACTGAAGCAGAACTTTAGGAATTAAGTCCATTTAGCCATAAAGTTTTTGTTCCCCCAAATGTGGCACCTCTCTGGAATCCCACAGGTAGTGGGACAGGATCGCAAATTCCTATGGTAGAGTGTTGTAGAGGGTGATAGAGAGGGGATGATGCAGCAGTATGGAGAGTAGGGTTATTTTGGGCAGGAGGGTTATTTGCTCCACCGATGCTCAAAGTTAATCAGCACATACATTAGTCCCAAATGTCCAAAACTAATATGATGGCTTATGGCATAAGACAGTTGTTTAATAACTTCTCCATTTGTGTATGAGGACTCTTTTTGGGGTTTGTTACTATGGAGCAGGATTGGTAACAAAATTGAGACCACTGTGGACAGTTCTAATGCTAGCCTATCCAATGCTAACCCTAATGGGCTTCAGATGAAGTAGACAATCCAGTGAGGGACCAGCCTAGGCATGCAAGTCACTAGCCAAGTCAAGCCAATGTGGGTGAGTTCTCTCCCTCTCAGTTACTAGCTTTCATTTGCCAGCGTCAGCTGCTTAGTTTCTAGTGCCAGCCTATCATTGATCAGATTAGTAGTTGGCATCGGAATGGATATAGATTCCTGCGGTGGGGAACAGGATACCGCTAGGTGCCCAATAGTTTTAATATGGTACCGAAACCACATGGTAGACAAAAGAGGCTCATGGCTGATAAGGTTTGCCTGGCATCTCTAAAAAGATCTTGAGTGGTCCTTTCATTGAGACAATTTAATTTAAATAGCTTTTTTCCTTCTTTATGGAACTTCAGCAAATAGCTTTTTGTCTCTTACATGGTAAAAATCGTGATATTTTATTGTGACTGATGATCTGGAACATTGACCTGCGACACAAAAAGGAAAAAACAGATTAAATCTTTAAGGGGGCAAACCCTTTTTCACAGCACTGTATTATATATAACCTTACTAACAGAAGCACATTCTGTTATCTGGTTTCTATGGCTTTGCATGAAGGGTAGATATCGAGACCTTTTGTCACTGAATACAAAAGCAGCGGTTGAACCTATTTTTTTCTCTAACTTATATTCCTCTTCTCAAAAAAAAAAACACAAAAAACGGGTAGATATACTCACTGCTGGTCAGTTTCTTTACCTTCTTTACCACACACAAGAGAGGAGATGAAGTATTCTGTTTTCTACCCTTTTGTGAGGAGTAGTTTTTAAGAGGGGATACTTTTTGTCTTGGCAAACATATACAGAGTTGCTAATGAAAGAAAGGATATAGTAATGAAATTAAGTAGAGAAAAAAGAACAATAAGATTTTCATTGTTTTTAATCTAGAACCTTTGGAACGGATGTTGCTACAGTCATCCACCTGGCACACGTTTCTTAATTTGTCATTGACATAATTCCTCATCTTTTAACATGTTGCTTTTTAATCATCATTATTACACAATTTCACTGTGTCGAGAACATTTTGTTTTTATTTTTCTGACATCACATGTGTTATATTGGATTGGAATATGTTTTTTTATGTTTTATTTTCTGCTTTTAATTTGTCTAGTAGCTCCTCAAGTTGCATTGTCCACTGCCCCTTCTGTCCGCGCTGCAAACAGAAAGCGAGGTAGGAGCTCTGGAATTCATACATCATCCCTAGATGATACCCAAGCCTTTCCCCTGTGTCCATTGATGTGTATACTGACTCTTAACCTCCCTGATCCTTACACAACAGTGGTGGAGAGCTCCAAAGCTATTGTTATACCTCCAGCTCAGTGCTGGACTGATGACTCTGGATATAAACAGTCGATGAAGGGATCATTCTTGTTAAGAATTAATTCTAAACACTATAAAAGGAGTCATTTCTTTTCAGCGCATATATAAAGGCCTTTTCTGCTACAACTATTTTTGGGCAAACGTGTTTCTGAGCCCTTCCTTTCCCCCTTCATGCGTGCATGATTTATGACCTCAGCCTATTTCTGGAGAAGAGAGAATATTTGTCTTCTGAGACTATGTCTAAAGGAGTAAGTCATTGTAATGTGGAAAGCCTCAGCTCACACTTAGATAGGACTGCCTGATTTAGACAAGTGGTTGAACAGACTTGACTTTCTGCTCCTTTTGTTTTTCAAGCCTTGTCAGGTTAGCATTGGTTGAACTGAGAGAACTGACCTCAATACAGATTCTTAATAACAGCAATCCCTTGGAAGGAAGCACCATCTGCTAAACTCCCTATTCTGGAACCTTGAGTAGGCTGTCAGTCTATTCGATTGCCAACAAGGCTTAAGGGTCACATCTGTCTGATCTGTGCCACATGGTGTCAGTGGTCACTCAGTGTGACAGACTGAACCTCACAGAGAGTATTTAGGTGAGGTTTCTCTCCTACCAACTACCAGCAATGCCATAACTGCACATAGACTGCAACTGATCTGTAAACCAGCTTTATTGTCATACGTCATGCATAGCTTTTTTTGGTTTTTTTACTTTAACTTTGCACTTATAGGTTGTAAACTTCCTAGACTTCCCCTGTGTATTAAGGCTATCTTGGTTAAATGATATAGATCATTTTACATCTGAACAATCTGGTATATGTTGGGATTAAAATGTCATTTTTTAGTTCCTTTGAATCAGACATGAAGACTAGCATCTGTGACTTAGACTTGAAACACACTTCAAGTGCAAAAACAGACTCCAGACTTTACTTAGATTCATGCTATAAAGACTTGAGACCTCATTGGATTTTTTTATAATCTCGTTGACTAAATCTGCCCCGTTATGTATTGAAATGAGCGGTTGTCATGGCATTTTCATGCATAGCATGTTCATCAATCTCTTTACCTACCAAAAAGGGGTTGACTCCAGCTTCCATGTTGGTAGATTTTTAATAATAGCTATGATTGAGCAAACACAAAGTTAACAAGCGACAGCTCTGATGGAAAACTGTTTATTGTTGGTTTAAAGGGTGGCTTTTATTTATTTCTCTTCGACCAGGAGCTTTCAGGGACTGTTGGCTTTAAATCAGGGCTGTCCATAGTAAGTCCTTAAGGGCTGGTGCTCTGCATGTTTTAGATGTTTCTCTGGTTTAACACCCCTGATTCAGAAAATTGCAGCTCAGCAACAGCCTATCAATCACCCATCAACAGAAATAAGGTGATAGTCTCTCCATCAATATGTTCGTGCTTGTTGTGGCATTAAGATAATGGCCGTCCTGATTTATTTATCAGAGAAAAAAAATTTTGTTTTTTCTTTATTATAAAATAAACTTATTTCTCAGTGACGTCTTTCTCTCTTTGCTAAGTTAACATTTTTATGAAGTCAGGGAAAGGTTTTCCTGAAAATTAAGATTCTCTCAGTTACTTCCTAAATTATACCAAGCTCTTGATTTTGTCATTTAACAAATACTTTGTTTAAACTTAAAAAAATGGCTTTCCAATTATGTGATAGTCTTTATATTGCACTTATTGAAGGTTTAAAGAAAAAAATAATTAATTAATAAATGAATGATCTGTATTTATAACCTGATACATTTGGTAAATTAGATGGATTTTTTTTTTTCTTATTTCAGTTTTTAGTGACTAGAGACTTTATTCTAATGTGAAAGACTTGAACTTTGACTTTGCCTCTAAAAGAGTTGAGACTTGACTTGGGCCTGGATGGAACAACATATGAACATCTTTGTCAGGAGCCACCATAATTTTTATGAGTCAAATTAAGGATTAACAAAAGTTCCTATTTTTACCAAGTAGTGGAAGATCCATTTCATTCATGGTTTGACCTGTCTTTGCTTTGTGGTGTCCAGTGGTAATCATGTATCTGTACCATCTTTGTCGCTTTGTGCTGTGATGTGCTTGAAGTAATGTGACCTCTGAAATCCTACTAACAATGCTGTTTCTTTGTGAGTGTGTGTCTGTAACTCTGGCTGTACCTTTGCCAGACTGACCATAATCTACCAACATCTCCTCCAACATGCAGCATCAGCATTTTCACCTCGCATGCCATGGCGCCTCGCTCAGACTTCTGCTAACCCTTCTGCTGTAGCGCTCGCAGCACGAACATCTCAACCCTCTTTTACCCGTCTCTTCCCTCCATACTTCCTCTCTTCTTGCAAGACTGCGAATGCTTCGGCCACTCCAAACGATGTAGCTACATCGAGGTGCTAAATAAAGTCATTTGCGTGAGCTGCAAGCACAACACTAGGGGCCAACACTGCCATCTGTGCCAGCAGGGCTACTTCCGCAATGCCTCAGCAGAACTGGACGATAAAAATGTTTGCATAGGTTAGTCTTACACCTGGCCCTCTTCACTGCCGCTATGCTTCCACACCTCTTCACCTCACTATACTGTCTTTTACTTCTCAGAAGAGGTAATGTCATTCCATTCTACACCAGTTTGTCTCCCAAGTACATTGTCCTGTCCTCATGTCCCACAGTTGTCCCCCTATCTCCTTTTTCTCCCTTCTTTTTTGGCACTATTGAATTGCAATAATAATAAAAATGCTAAAGTGCTTTTAGATTCTACGGTGCACAAACATGGTAAAGAGCGATATTCTCTTGAAAAGTTGTAATGTTGTAAAGTTTCCGGTTAACATTTTCTTTTTTTTCTTATGTTGCAAACTCTGTGGTGATTGCTCGTTAGCTGCAGTTAATCTTTAGAAGTTAGTGTGAAACCAGAGGGCATGGGGAAAAAAATTAGCGAGCAATTTACTGTAAAGCATTGATATTTGTAGGTAAAGTATGTCCAGAGCAATATCAAAAACTCTTTTTTAAAGTTTGATGACAATAGGTATAAATATGATCTGTTTAATATATGTCAATTGTTTCCTTAAACTTTTTTTTAACTTCCAATGCACTTGTTGATTTTTAGCGTTAACAACAACATGGTTAAACAGCTAAGATACCTGAGCATTTGGATTCAAGTTCATGAAATCTTTAGCATAGATTCTATCCTAAGATACAAAAGGGGGAATAATAAAAAAAATTCTGAACTCTAGATCAGTTTCTAAGTATTTTTTAAATAAAAATTAATAAAGACATAACAAATATTTGACGTGTTAACTTTTGAAAACTACATAACATGTCAAGTGTTAGAATGAATACTAAATTTCGCTTAGATTTCTGCTTCACCATAGTAGCAGATGCACGTATATACAGTAGTAGCCATTTAAAATTTCCCCACATTCCTTGATGGGCCCTTAGCTGGTCCCCTACAATTCCTTTTTAAACACCAATCTTTGTACTAAAATGTTCTCTCTGTTATGATTTGTGGACATTAAGATGCGTCATCTCCTGGTCAGATCCTGCAATTTAGTGATAGGGTGGAGTTCGAGTAAAAAAAAAAATGCAAGGCCAGGAGAAGGCCAGTGGCTGGAAGTTGGAGTGGATTTTGCTGGGAGTCACGGGGCAGTATCCTGCCATTCGGCTGCTGTTTGACTGGCAGAGGGCTATTTTGAATGGCTGCTACTGTACAGTATAAAAAAGCTGGTTAAAAAGAGGGCAAGCAAGCTTTTTCTGAACTTCACCTGCTAGCTATACAAGGCCCATGTTTTTAGTACACAACATAAATAAGGCCATCATCACCTAGTATTTCTATTTTCATCATGACTCATATGCAAACTCCTTAATAAACATCTATTTTTGCTCTGTCTACTACAGTACAACTCGTGTAACTCCCAAGGTAATAGCTTGGCTCTCAACTGAAATATTTCCCTGGTATATATAGTGTGAATTCACAGCTCTGAGTGTCAGGTGCATTTGTACGTCCTGAGGGGGAAGTCTGACAGGTAACATGAGTTCTGAGAGAAATTTTTCCAGCAAAGTCACACAGGCAGTCAAAAATGCCAGGCTAGTGCATATGTCATATACATGAAATGGCCTCAGGAGGAGCAGCTGAAACCCGTCACTTGGCGTTAAGAGTCACAGAGGCGTTACTGTGTGCCGAGCTTGCCATCACCCTGACTCCTTCTCTGACCTCCCCAGTTTGTCACATGCCGTCACCTCTCTCCTCTTGCCTGACCCCAGGATGTCAGTCAGGGGAAGCCAGGTGAAACGCAGTCACATTCGCTGCAATGTTATAGTCTGGGATTGTCAAAATAGGTGTCACGTTGCAGTGTTATAGTTCCTGTGGAAAGGTCAATTAAGCATAGGTCACCCGAGACATAACAGGTTATGTGTTCTCTTCGAAAGCTATTGATAAGACCCTTCTTCTCTGCTAATGTCAGAATGGAGAGAGGTACGTGTTTAGAGGCAGTTTCTAATTAATTAGAAATAAAGAATAAATTATGAAAATGCCCATTTCAATGTAAAGTTATCTCAACTTTGATCTTCTTCTCTTTTCACACCATCATCCATCTTCTATCTGTCCATCTATATCTCTGTATGAATAATTTGATTTTTAAGAACATTGCTCATTTAGGATTTCTAAGTCCATTTGAAATCAGGTCTACTGATTTTGCTTTCCATTGAAGTTCACTGCATGCTAGGTTCTCATATACTGAATAGTATTAAAATATTAATTAGGAATATGATATATGTATAAAGTGTTCATGCAACTAGAATCAACTTCATTCTTTGCTCATTTTCTCCATCGTCATTACCGTTGAAATGGATGCATTTGTATATTTTTGAAATTTAGTTAGACTTTGTCAACAGTTAAAGAGACAGGTTAGTTTCAGTAAATTAGAATATCATGGAAATTAAATGGGAAAAAAAAATCCTAAACCAAATATATTCAATATATGTAAAGGGATATGCTGTTTTTTTCGGTTATTTTGATGATTCTGGCTCGCAGGTAATGAAAGTCCAAAAATTAGTATTAGCAAACACATTTTCTATACATGCTGGTGAAGCTCCTCATCTCATTTCATCCAGGTTAAAAAAAACAACCCACTAGACTTTGTTTCCAAGTTGGAAGACATTTCCCTTCCAGGAAGCTTTTTCAATTCAAAATGTCAGAATTACCGATAAGTTCGAAGCGTTATACAGTAGCCCAAAAGCTTGTTTTAGCTTAGAAAACATGCAAATTGAAACAGAAGAATGGGTCCACCCCTTAGAAATGAGGAATTATTTGGGGCTCTTTGTTAACTTGCAATATCAGATACTGGTCTATGCCTCCGAAAGGAGGCGAGATGTTTTGACCCCTGCATGGGGGTGGGTGAAAGGGGTGTAAAGAAAGCTGTTAAAGAAAAAAACAACCTTAAACAGAGGGAGCAGACTCAGGTTTCAGCTCTCAAAAATCTACAATGCAGCATATAGTTTATTCCTTCCCACTATCCCTTCAACCCCCCACCCCATGTGAATAAATTACTTGTGGGAGCAGTTGGAATAACGGTGAAAAACTAACAAGTCATTGATAATCTCCCTCAACCTGGGTTCCCATGTGAGATCTCATCTTGTTAGGTCAAAATGATCATGAGAATGATGTGCATAAATTACACAACTACAGTATATTGATGGACCTGCCGAATGACCTACAAAGAGTTTGGACCAATTGGGACCATTGTCAGGTGTTTCCCCCCTGCTGCTGAAGCCAGTACATGTCCAGGTCCAGTTGAAGTTTGCGCATGGATAGAGAAGAGGATTAGGAGAAATTCATGTGGTCGGATTAAAAGAAAATGTAACTTTTGGCACAAACTCAACGTTTTGTGTTCAGAGAAAGAATACACTATTTGCATAACAAGAGCACAATAAACACTGTGAAGCATGGGAGTGGAAATATCATGCTTTTGGGCTGCAAAGGATACTGGGTGACTGATCTGTGTAAAGGGAATAAAAAACTGGGACAATGTATCATGAGATTTTAAGCCGAAGCCTCCTTCCATCAATGAGAGCAGTGAAGATAAATCGTAGGTGGATGGGTCTTCGAACACGTCTCTGGCTCAAACACACTTGGGTGGCTCTGTGAAAAGCATTTAAGGTCATGGAGTAGCCTAGCCAGTCGCCAGACCTTAACCCCATGGAAAAGAGTTGATTTCTATGGAGGAATGGACCAAAAATACCACATGTGTGAGCAAACTTGTTTTCCACCATAATTAAAACTAAACAAATTTTTTATAAAACCCACACCATTTCCTGGATTTTTTTCTCATTTTGTCTCTCATCTTTGAAGTGCACTAATGATTATCTAAGTAAGATAACTTACACAATCAGTGGCTGACTGAGTACTTTTTTAGCCCTCTGTACACAAAATGACTTTATACCCCTACATTATTTGTTATCTAGCTTTACCTTATATTCAGTTTTGGGACAACTAGCTTTATCTAGAATTACCAATCATGACTTCATTGAATCTTTGCTGGACAACCAATGAATTTGTAGGTCATAAGATGACCACTTCACAATATCCTGTATTTATTCATGTTTTTGGTCTTATCTTGTGTTACAATTTTCTGAGTAACTGAATATTTTTCCTTAACTGTGAGCCAGAATCATCAAATGAATAGAAATACATACTTGAGCTATGCAATACGTATCCCACTGTGTATAAGGAATCTATCTTTGAGACTTTTTGAATTGATTCAATGGAATAAACATACTTTTCTTTGATATTCTAATACGAAAACCTGTAACAGAACTCGAAAAGCTGTGAGAATCCTAGACGTGTGCCGGGAAGTCAAAGCACCGACCTGTTCTCCAGCCTGTGTGTGTGTGTGTCTTGTTTTTTCAGAGTGTAATTGTAATCCTTCTGGCTCAGTCAGTGATCGCTGTAATGGCACAGGATATTGTATATGTAAGGAGGGCACTACGGGCCCCAAGTGTCAGGAGTGTCTACCCGGCTATTTGTGGGAAAATGGCTGCAAATGTAAGTAGAACCACCACTCTCCCCATGTCCAAACTGCCCGACTGTTCTGCCTCAGCTCTGTCTCCTTCTGCTTTCTTCCTCGATGTTTGCTCTCTCTGTGTGATTCCAAAGCTTTGGCTGGAGGAATGCGCTGTATATGCGCTCCATCATTGTTGCGACAAATCTCCTGCATACTTTTCTACGCCATTACCGGAACCTCCATTTCACCCTTCCTATGGCTGCAATACTAATGCGGGATCAGAAGGTGCCCGTTGTGGCCTCAAACAGACAAAGAAGCAACGGCATGGCAGGATGCATGCTGCTCAGTCGCAGAGGCGTGTCGCACACAGTCGACACAACAGCTGAGTCAATATTGACTGCTTGACACACTGCCTGTGATCCTCTTTGCCAGCACACAAACAGGACAGTGATGTCCAACACTAATGTTATCTTTTTTTTTTTTTTCCAAAGGAGAAAATAGGTCGTTTTAGGCCCCACACATCCATTATAGTCTATCGTTTATATTTCCTCAGGTCATTTTACAAAGCATGCCCCATAAAGTTTGTTTTCCCACAAATGTCACCAATTTTTTTGTTGTTTTCAACATGTCATGCTATCAGCGACAAACCTACAGGTAGAGAGACATGTGAACTTTAAGAAAGACATGGATTTAAACCTTTTGAGGGAGAAATTTAAAGACAGAAGACATTTAAACCTTCTCCGATTTTTGACCAGGCAAAAAAAAAAAAAAAAAACTGTGACAGGTGAGATGATTTATGGATCGATTTTAGAGGATGTTTATATTATTTTTTTTTCTTTTTAGATCAAAGCCAGTTGTTTATTATCTTATTATTCTAAGAGAGCAGACATTCATCAAAAGCTACAAACATCAACCTAAAGAGCTGCATGAGAAAATATAATTTCTTCACATAAGCTACAATATGTAAAAATTAAAGATCATAGATGCCCTGTTTTAACTAAGTGCATCTGGTTCTGATAGCAGCATATTTGACCGATGCGTACCAAGCAATGAAAGGAGCAACATTCTTGAACACAGTAAGTTCTTATGTTGCATCCAATGAAAAAAAGAACATTTTAATCATTTAAAGAGATAGGCATCAGTTGACACCATTAGCCACAGTTAAGAATTGCTTTCTTTAAAATACCAAGGATGTGTGTCGTACACCATTGTGAGATGCTAGAGCCACAGTACTCACAGTAGATCCATCTTGATAAGACAGCCAATATATAATACCATCGATTGCTATTGGCTTTACTACAGACTAACTGTTAGAGGTTTTCCCAATGTGCAGTGAATCAAGCACCATTAACATACTAAATCAGAAAACTTCCAAGAGCTTTGCAACATCAATTGAAATTATGCTGCAAAAGTGCATATATATTTATACTAAAGTTAGTGGATGAATGCTGGTGATGGAGAACGAAGCATGGACTGCTATATTGGTTGTGCATGATGGGGAGCATCATGGTAAATCACATCAGCTGAAACATGGCAACATCACAAAAGGTTTCTCCTTTTCAGACCTGGACAATTTTATCAGAAGCATTAACTCTTTTTAATAGAAAAGCTTTGTGAATGATTGCTAAGCACCATGTCTGTAAATTACTTTAAGAGTATGCTGCTACTGTTGTTTTATTAATATTAAACCATATGAACAATTAAACACTATTTCTTTCTTATCTTAAAATGATTAAAGATGTATCCTTTACCGAGGAACAGATAAAGAAATAGTGGCAAATGAGAAAGAGATTGTGTTATTTATCCCTAATCATTATTATATTATAATATTATTATTATTATATTTTTGTACTTGTAGTACTTATAGTGTGGCAGGTATTGGTGACTGTGTTGGCAAATACTTAAATCACTTGAATCAGTATTAAGACACCCAAAGAACTGGTTCTTCCTGTCCCAAGAATAAATAAACTATGTTAAATGTAAAAGCATTGCACCTAAAAAATTGCAAATTATATTATTCTGCTTGCACATTACTCTGCAATAGCTTAACAGGCACATCGATGAGGCAGGAGAATGTCCTGAACTTTATCCAATACAAAAAATATATCAAGATGTCCTTTTATCTACGGAGTTTGTGTGTGGAGGTGGATGAGACGAGGAAGGTCAGTCACAGGTCAGCACTCATTCTCACTGAATAGCAAGTATGATTATTGCAAAACCTATTGCCACCTAAAGATGTTTAGTTGTTTTTTTGTTTTTTTACAAATTGTATTCACTCATTGTTTCTCTACAACTTTAAAATTAAGCAAAACCTGCAGCATTATGATTTATATTCAGTGCAAAGCACAGCAAGTTATTTTAGTCATTTTTGCACAGATGGATCTTCATTAAAATGCACTGTTTTTCCACTGCAACTTGTTGGTGGTTCCTAATGTATTCAGTGTGTACAGAGTAAACACACGCTGTCAGTGTGCACATCTGTTTCCACACAAAGGGACGTTTGAAAAGGGGAGGCAAGCATGGCTCACATCCCATCCCCTCCAAGGGTTAATCCACGTTCAAATCCTGATGCACCACTAGGCAGAAATTTTTTTAACATCATTTTATTTTAGAAGGGCATCAAAGTAAGCATCACATATTAAATCCTAATGTGGTATGGCGTTAGAATCAGTCTCTTGTTTTGGCAGGTTACTTGAGACTGTTGTAAAAATGCATATTCACCCAAATTTTACACCCAGGGATAAAAATATTAATGTTAGAACGACTACTTACACACAATCTCCTGATGTTTAGATACCATTTTGATTTTTTTAACCACCAACAGAACAGTCAAATCCGCATCACAACACCACAGTTTCTAATTTGGCTTTCAATGCAAACATTACAAATGCTGACAGCTTGTTATAGTTGAAGCTGAGGTGTAAAAACTAACCCTAATTAAAAGCAGGTCATAATAAGATTAAATAAATATGATAAAACCAAAGGATGCTGCATGTTTATACATTTCATTGTAAAGTTTAATGTTTATCATGTAAATATTTTGTTGAATATATAAAAGCTAAATGAGGGGAAAGAGATTAAAAATAGCATTAAGTTCATCAGTGATAGAAGGACCCCTTATTTAGGGAACTAATGCTCAGATATGTTGTACACAACCCTCAATCAAAATTATCAGTCAACGATGCAACAAAATCCTTACAGTTAAGTACCCTTTTTTTCACATTAGCATAATAAAATTCAACCTTTAATTTCAGGTAACTTTTGAAAGCCACTGTAATTGTTTTTGGATACGTTCATGGTGATAGCAAGCATTATACAGTTACTATCTACCTAAGAGTGACAGTTGGAAAACTTTTCAGTCTTGGTCTTTTTTTTTTTTTTGCCTTTGCTGATGCAGATCTTCTGTTCATGACCAAGACCCATCCTGCAGTCAGACTGGAAAATGCAATTAAAACTTAAATCTCTCCTCAAACACATCATTTTCTCAGACACGCACACCTAGTTCACTGGTTCCTTCTCTAAATATTATCACTCATATCAAAGGCAAACACAACAAATCTTGTCATTTACTGCCTGCGCTGCCTTTGTTTACTGGTGGTAATGCGAAATGGTCGATGTGGGGGAATTGAAAGCGGATAAAGAGCCGCAGAGCTCTGAAAGGAGGTTCTGAGGCTATGTCGGTGCTACAGCACCTTTAATCTTACTGAACTTACATGTCTGACAAAACTTGTTATTGACGCTTGTTTTCAAATAATCAATAACTTTGTTTCATGTTAGATCTTGGCTCTGCTTAATTGGCAGGTGATAAAGCACGGTGGCTGCAGGGGATGGCAATTACCTTGACCTCCCTTTGAATTCAGCTGAACTTGCTGTTCAGCCTTAACCCTTGAGCTGGATTATTTTTGAACAGGATAGTTCTTTAAGAGAAAAAGAAATAACAATATAGTTATTACTTCACAATGAAAAATTACTAACACTATTTTAATCTGTATCCTCAATTGCATTAACATTGAATTTAATATTATTTCTGGTTACTAGATACCAGAATAACGAAAAATGTTTTTTGTTTTTACTTTCTGTAAAACATACAGACCGGAGATGTTGACTGAAGCTGGTGAGAAATTCTGATTTTAATCAGTGAATTGAGCAAAGTGCAAACAGACCCCCCTATTTCCATAAATTTGTTTTGATGCTCTTGTGACCTAAAATTAGGTGAAATTGGGGGAATATGTTTTTTTATGAAGTTTGAATTACAAAACAAAATATCCAAAAGAAAAAGGCACGAGCTCACAACTTTATAAATAAACATTAACTTGTTAGTGGAAAACATGATATACCGTATGAACAATCTTGTATTTTGTACTACTACTCTTATTCTCATAACAGTTTCATGCAAAATCATCCCTCGGATACTTTTTTGTTATCATATTTCAATTCAGTAATGTGATTGGATAAGCCAAATGATTTTGATATTATGCTTTTATGAATTTTTTCAAATATGAATTAGAAATCTGCACTCTGTATTCAACCTTATTTACTTTGACTCCTAAAAAATAACTCAACCTCACTAACTGGCCACTAAAGTCGCCACAACAGAGGTAATCTATAGGTACATTAAAGCGGATTAGGCAAAACAAAAAAAAAAGGCATAATCCTATCTTCAAATAAATCACTATACAGCAAGCATTCCTCTTAATAATGTTTATATAGTCCCTTTTGAGCCTTAAGATGTTTTTAGCAGGTGTTCTTAGCAGACATTAAGATTGTGGTGCATTATTTATCAACATTAACAAAACTTGAACTAATGACATGTATCATGCGCATTGCGTACTCTATGCACTTTTCTGTCACTTTAACTAAAGGCCAGATAAAAGTATTGGTATCAATACCATCAGTAATGCTGTCAGCATGGCAGCTAAATCTGAATACTTCCACAATTCTCGCTCTCGCTTCAGGGAACAGGTTCATATTATTTTCAGAGTGCTAATTGTATCCTATCCCTTTTGGCATAAATTGTTTTTGCAGTTTTTCACAATTCTAT